AATGAGTGGGAGAGTGTGGGTGTATAAAGGAGCATGCCTGGAAGAAAGAGGATCAATGGGGTACAGTCCACCCAGCGGCACCCCTTGACCAACCTCCTTCCAGCCTATGTCAATATCATCATCCACCAAGATTTACTGGGAAGTTACTAAGTGCCAAGCACAATGCCAGGCATGAAAAAGTACAGGTTCTTTTAGATCTATAAATGTTTGGAGTTTACAGGGACTCACGCCATACAGTCTGCCATGTGGATCCAGCCTCTTTAACGACCATGCCACCAGTTGGCTTTCCCAATTTTCAAGAGAAGCTGACAATATGATTTTTTGGGTGAAATATCCATGTTTTTAAATGTCAGTAACCAACCAAAATAACTTTTAAAACTGTGAAGATTACTGTAACATATTTGAGACCCAAATCCAGCAGACAGCCGGTTTTCAACCTGTAGGCGAGAAAAAGCCACTGGACAGTCTTAAGTAGGAGAGTGACAAGGTCAAGTGTGCATTTTAGAAAGAACATACTGGGGGCAATGGAGAGGATGGGACAGGGTTGGTGCCAAAATATTCAATAAATCTCCCAAAAAAATCTGATGAGGTAGTCTGAACAAGGAAGAACTAAAGTAATGGATTCAAGAGTAACCAGGAGGTCAAATAGGTAGGAGCTGGTGGAATTATTGACTGTTGGCTGGAAAGGAAGCAAGGGCCATCCCAGATCTAACCTGGGCATTTGGGTATGTGGATAGAGAACAGAGAAGGAGCAGGCTAGGGCCCTCACCTTGATATCCTCCTTGGTGAGCCTTGGCCAGGCCACCTTCTCCTTCCATTTCCTCACAAAGCAAGTAATGGAGCGGCCAGAGCGCTTGTCCTGAGAGTCCTGGCAAACAGAAAACCTCTTTCTTAGGGTCTGAGTTTTAGACTGGATCTCCAGTTAACTTGGGCAGCCTTTTCATTCAGACCTTACTGTCCCACTCCACACTTACCTTGCAGTTCACCTTGGCATAGAACTCAATCTCATTGTACAACTCCACTCCATCGGCATTCTTGCAGCTGAGGAGACAAGGAGTGTCAGGACATGTGGGAGGCAGAGGATGGGGGCATTAACAGAAGGAAAGCCAGGCTCTCCAGAAGGGAGTGCTACTACCTGAACACAATGCGGTGATCCTCAATGAGCACATGGACATCTGTGCTGTCCTCAACACAAAACTCCATGAACACATACTTGGGCCTGTCGTACCACAGGGTCCGGGCATGCTGCCTGAGGAGGAGTTGAGGTGGGGCTTCATAGGGGTGGGAGAAGGAAGACTGAGGGCATTTGGGAAATGTGGAGGTCGAGGTCAATATGGACAGTTTGATGCTATACTCCTGTCAAAGTGGAATTAAATGATACAGAAGGGGGTGGAGGGACCAGCAATTAACATAATGGCTATGTCGCTGGACTCCCACATACTCAACCGTGGTTGGAGTCCCGGACCTGGTGGCTTAAAACTCACGACGGGCACGTGTGCGTGCATGCCCAAGATCCTGAGAGGAGGAGAAGGGATTGCAGCATGGCCATCTCCCCTGGGGGGGGTGATTTCTCGCTTTCTATCTCTCTGTCTCTCTCTGTCTGTCTGGCGAGTGCACGCACCCTATAGCAAACCTCCCCACCACCACAAAAAAAAAGAAGTGGAAAGGAGTGTTGGCAGCCGGCGGGTGTGGTGAGAGGTAGGGAGTTAGGGAGAACATTCAGGTCACACCTCCCCTCACCCTGCAGTCATAGAGACCTGGGATCTGGGGCTCCCATGGGGCCACGCAGACCCTGGAGCGCCCAGGAGAAGAAGCGGAAAGGGTCAGGGGTGGGAAACAGTATCCTGGCCGGAAACACTCACCGTGCCATGGTGGCTCCCGCTGCAAGCAGCGTTTGGAGTCCCAGGCTGGGGCAGCTATCTTTAGATCCGGGGGACGCCCCCAGCAGCTGCCTCTCCTTATATGGCCAAGGGAAGGGAGCCAGCCAAGGGATCAGCACTCCGGAGAGACTCTGGGAGAGTTTACTTTCTGCAGCCTGACCACTCTCCAGAAACGTACAGATTAGGAATAGACAACCCACTCGCTGGGACCACGGCAAGAGCTGGACACAGAGAGTAATTTGTCCTCGGCCTCATCCCCTTGTTCCTCCGACCGCGGGTACTCAGTGCCTATTCACAATAGGCGCCAAATTAAAAATTCTAGGTCGGAGTTAAGTCTCGGGAGAATGCGGGTTCTTGGGAACCTCGGAACTGCAAGCCCCGCCCATCGCCCCGCAGAGTTTCCCAGCCAACGCGCCGTTGCCATAGCAGCAAAGGGGGCGCGGCTGACGTGCAACGGCGTTTCCGGGAATATGGCGGCTATCGAGGCGGCTGCGGAGCGGGTAACGGGGGTGTCGGCCGTTGGGCCAAAGGCTAAGGACGAAGACGAGGAGGACGAGGAGTCGCTGCCACCGTGTGAGGCGGTGCGCTGGGCTCCGGTGGGGGCAGTAGCGGAGGCCGGACCTGGAGCGGCTGCGTTTTCGGAAGAGGCGGCGGCGCAGTTCCGCTTGCGCCAGGTGGTGCGCGGGGCGCCGGCGGAGCAGCAGCGCCTCTTGCGCGAGCTCGAAGACTTCGCCTTCCGCGGCTGCCCTCACGTTCTAGGTTACGAGGGGCCCGGGGACCCCGCCAGCGACGAGGGCGACGGGCTTCCAGGAGACCGGCCACGGTTGCGGGGCGAGTACCAGGTGAGCTGCTGGGGCCGGGGGACGTTGGAGGTGGCAATGCTGACGCGGACGGAAAGGAAAAATGGTGAGAGAGACATCCGACTAGGTGAGTACGTGAGTCAGAGACGAGGAAACTAGAGATGGTTTTGCGGGGCCCGCTGCAGAGCAAGAGGACAGAGAGGCCTGGGAAGCGAGGGTGAGAGGTGAGCACTGAAGGTGTGGAAAGAGAGGTGCTAGTATGTGATGATGTGAGGGGCAGAGAATGAGAACGGCCGAGGCAGTGCTTACTTCATTCATCCTCCTGGGCCCACAAATACCGATCCTGAGCACTTCCGCTGATGAAGTACACTCCAACCCGAGACAGTAAACACTGGCAAGTGAAAGGAAAATGAGTCGAAATCCGTGGACATTTAGATATAACCACCTGAGCCCGCGTTCAGGAATCTAGGCAAGGTCTTTAATCTTTAGACTCTAACTGGCTGAGAGCTTTGGTGAATTGCAGGGTCTCGGAAATTTTAAAGAAACACAACTCTTGATTACATCAATTTGAATTTTATTTATTTATTTGATATTTTTGCCGTATGGCGTATGCAGTCGCCAGAGAGGCAGAAAGCAAGAAATCACCCCCCCAGGGGAGTATGTCCAGGCTGCAACCCTTCTCCATTCTGTTGAGATTTTTGCAGGGCACACAAACGATGTTTCAAGCGGCAGAACCGCGGTTGGCCACATGGGGTCCAGGAGTCTAAGCTTTAACCACTATGCCACCTGCTGGTCTGTGAATCGGAATTTTTTTTTTTTTTTTTAAGAGATTTTTGCTATAGAGCCCATGCGATGGGCAGAAAGGCAGAGACAGACAGAAAGTGAGAAATCACCGCCAGAGGTGATATCTATGCCACAGTCCCTTCTCCATTCTCCCCTTGGGATTTTGGGCCCTCGTGCACATATACGCTGAGTGTGATATTTAAGCCAATGGGTCTGGGACCTGAACCGTGATCTACTAGGTGGGAGTCCAGCGACATAACCCTTATGCCATCTCCTGGTCCCATAAATTGGAATTTTTAAACTCCTCTCCCATCCTGTTTAATGATTAGATATTCTGAATGAGGTCTACTAGCAACTGACGAGATCTGTTTGTTTACATTGAGAAGTAATAAAACTATATATACAACAGGAAGAAAACATTCCCTTACAGGCTTGAATATCTGAATGTGCACAGATGCAGGTAGCTTGTTAGAAGTGCTGAGACATATTGTCATTTCAACACCTTTTTATTTTTCAGGTTACAACACACACGTGGCTTTTTTCCCACTTAAATTGATTTTAGCTGAGAAGATTTATCAGTAATTATTGACTTGTGTATTTTATTTTGTACTGTTTCCAATACTGTGTTCACTGTTCACCCTTCTGTCCGCACAGCCACAGTTCCTTAAGTAAGGAGTAGCCACCTCAAATTGCGAGACTTGAGGACTAGAAAGGCTAGAATTCTGGTGACCAGACTGTGTTCAAGAGTGAGCACCACCAAAGATTGTGTGTGAATATGGCACTCTCTTTCTGTTGTTCATTTTTACTTCCAGAAGTAGCATATCACCATGGCCAGCAGGCGCCATGGTAATTAAAGCACTGGATTCCTGCAGGTTCATATCCTGGACCTGGCAGCCTGGTGCAAGTGTGTGTGTGCTTGCCTTGAATCCAAGGAGGAGACTGGAAGAGAAGGGATTACAGGATGGCCATCACCCACAGGGGATGATTTCCCATTTTCCCTCCCACTCTCGCTGTCTGTGGAGAGCACATGCACCCTATTACAAAGACCTAAAAACATTTTTTAAAAAAGTGCTTTATGCACTTGGTAAGCAGCTGTAATCCTTTTTTTTTTTCCCCCAGAGAGGTTTTTGCTATAAGGCATGTGAGCTCGCCAGAAAGACAGAGAGAGAGACAGAAAGCAAGAAATCACTCCCCAGAGGGGATGACCACGCCAAAATCCCTTTTTTGCATTCTCCTCTTGGGATCTTGGGCACACACGCACATGCAAGCCACCGGGTCCAGGACTCGAACTGTGGTTGACTACATGGGAGTCCAGCAACATAGCCATTATGCCAACTGCAAGTCCCAGCAGCTGTAATCTTGTATGCATATATTGGCATGTGAACAGGTAGAACTAAACAAGACATCTTTGAACCCAATGATTTATTCCTTATCAGTTCCAAATTTTCTTAAGCCAGTGTTCCTCTTATTGTACTTCATGTTGGAAATTATTTCTGTTATTTCCTGCCTCGCACAGTTTTTATTGTTCTCACCTATTAAATTTGATTGTTCACTCTAGCAAATAGCATACTGTAGTTAACATGGTAAGTGACAGAGTGCAGCAGGTATAGTCATGAAACAGAGTAAGGATTTAGGGCTGGTTTATGTCTTCCTTGGCTTCATAAAGTTGGGACACAGAGCGAACAAAAACAAATACTTATTTCCCCAGTTTTTTCTCCTTGGGCTGGCAAGACAACTTCTTCCAATAAGGGTTCATTGTTTGGAATTTGGCATTCTGTGCTTAATTCATACATACAACACAAATATCTACTGAGAGCTCATGTTGTACAGTGCTAGGCATGGGGGAATTCAAAAGTCAAGGCTCTTTTTTTTTAAGCACTTAAAAAAAATTATTTATATATTTGTTTGTTGTGATTTTCAGACCTCCACATCCAGGACTTGAACTGTGGTTGACCATGCGGGAGTCCTATGCCTCAACCATCACACCACCTGCCAGCCCCAAGGCTCTTGTCCTTAAGGAGTTCTTAGACTAGTGAAGACAGAAGCTTATAAATAAATAGCAACAGAGCTAGAGTAGAAGTGTGTGCAGAAACAGAGACAGAAATGGTTAGTTCTGCCTAAGGAAGTCAGAAAAATCTCTTAAAGGACAGCTAGGCCTTCACTGAATAGAAGTGGGGGATAGGGTTCTAAGAAAAACAGCAATACTTGGAAAAGACTGAAGAAGGCCTAGCCTTAAAAAAAGCTTGCTTTTATATTGAGCAAAGTTAAAGCAAGAAGGTTGAGGGTTGCTTTTTAAATATTTGAATGAAAATTAATTTGTTCTTTCTTATTTGTTCTCCCTCATACCCACTTCTGGAGGGCTTGGTAAGTACTGTTTTAAGGGTTTTTGTTTTGTTTTGTTTTTGTTTGTTTTTTTAAAGAAAGATTTTTGCTATAGGGTACGTGTGCTCGCTAGACACAGAAAGAGACGGAGAGAAAGTGAAAACTCACTCCCCAGAGAGGATGGCCAGGCTGCAGTCTCTTCTCCTCCATTCTCTTCTTAGGATTTTGGGCAAACATTCACACACACACACACGTGTATCCAGCTTGAGTTTCAAACCACCAGGTCTGGGACTCAAAATGCAGTTGACCAGGTGGTAGTCCAATGCCATATGCACTGCACCACCACCAAAGGTTAACTTTTAATACTCTATAGACTCAAGTTTAAAATGCAACCATCAACCAACCAAGTATTCACCGGTTTTCCTTTTTGTTTGATATCCAAGAAAGGCAAGGAAGAGCCAGTGTTTGCAAAAACACTTGCAGGATGTATACATTACAACCTGAAAGGTTGCTCTTTTTTTTTCTTTTTTTTCCTTTTTTTTTTTTAAGGTTTTTGCCGTAAGGCACATGTGTTTGTTGGAGAGAGACAATGACAGTGAGAGGGAAAGTGAGAAATCACCCCCTCAAAGAGGATGGGTACACCACAATCTCTCCTTTATTCTCTTCCTGGGATTTTGGGCACACATGCACATGCCTTACCATGATCTTCAAGGTGCCAGGTTTGGGACTCAAACCACGGTTGGCCATGTGGGAGTCCAGTGCCTTCACCACCACACCACCTGCTGGCCCCACCACTTGAAGGATTTTTAATAATTTAAAAACAGAAACAACTTAGTGGCCAACAATGAGAAAAGTCACTAGTCAGAGAAACTTACCAGATATTTTTTTTAAATCCTTCCCACTCCCATTACTTGGCTTTGGTATTTTTTATTTTTTACTACCCCATATATATTTGAGTCTTTGGATTTTGCAAAAGTAGCTTACAATGCAACAGAGGGGTTTTGAGTCTTAAGAAAAACTGGTTATAATGTATACAGCCTTTCTCTACACCCTTATTCTGATTCTTTTGGAAAATTTGACTACACAAAGTATTTAAGAGTTGTGCTATGGTAATTGGCTATGACAGATGACATGTTTAATTCTTGGGCCGGCAGGTGGCGTGGTGGTTAAGGGTGCTGGACTCCCACATGGCCGATGACAGTTCAAGTCTTGGATCTAGTGGCTTGCTTTCTCACTTTCTCTCCCTATCTCTCTCTCACTCTGTCCTCTCTGGTCAAATTAAAATAAAGAAAGAAACAAAGTTAAAATCATTATTTAAAAAAAAAAAAAAAGACATGTTTAATTCTTGGGAGGCCGTCTTAGCTAAAATAAGTTGTCTCAGGCCAGCAGGCAGTGTGTTGGAATTCCCACATCGCTAACCAGTTTGAGTCCCATGCCTGGTGGCTTTCTTTCTCTGGCAAAACTCATGTGGAAAAAAAATAATAATAATTAATTCTTTAAAAAAAAAAATAAGTTGTTGGGACCAGCAGTTGGCATGATGGCTATGTCGCTGGACTCCCATGTAGTCAATCCTGACACCAGTGGCTTAAACTCACGCTGGGCACCTGTGCGTGTGTGCCCAAGATCCCAAGAGGAAAATGGAGGAGAAGGGATTGTGGCGTGGCCATCCTCCCGGGGGGTGATTTCTCGCTTTCTGTCTCTCTGTCTCTCTCTGTCTTTCTGGCAAGTGCATGTGCCCTAAAGCAAAAACCTGTAAAAAAATAAATAAATACTAAGTTGTCTCTACCCTATCTAGACTTCTTTTTATTTTTAATAATTATTTTTATTTAACTTTATTTATTTATTTATTTATTTAAATTTGACCAGAGTGGGACATAGAGAGAGAGTGAGAGAAAAAGCAAGCTACCAGGTCTGTGACTCAAACCACAGTCAGCCTTGTGGAAGTCTAGCACCCTTAACCACCATGCCACTTGCCAGCCCCTCTAGGTGTTTTTTTGAGGAGAAAAACAGTATTAACAAAAGGTCTCATGGCATTCTTATCCTATTTCCAATGAGAGACAGTTACTTTCTTGAAGAACACATTTAATAAATTGTTCTGTATGAAATAATTATT